AAGAAGTCCTTCAAGTGGTTTCTCATGGTAGCTTTAGGAATAGAGCATTAACTAGACCTTTATTGCTTACAAGAAATCCTCCCACGAACTAGCTCAAGCAAAAGAAAAGATTTATCAGGCGGACCTGGAGCTGACAGTAAGACCATGCTGGGAGGAGGGGCATGGTTGCAGTGAACCATTAAGAAACAACCATTTCCAGAACTCTCTTTCTGCCTCTTGCTTCTGCTTCTGCTCCTTTGGTTTTATTTCTCTCTTACTCTAGACTGAGTTCCTTTACCTGGCAGAAACTTGGATTCTGGTAGCTCCTAAACTTTTGCATATTTTTGATTCTAAGCTACCAGAGAGAGAAAGAGAAAGGAGAGACTGACTCTCTAGGTCTCCCATCTAAGTATCTCGTTGCTGGGGCTCACTGTTCCATTGGAAGTTAGGAGCAGAGTATTGGACTAAGAAGCTATGGCCAGAGGGCTGAGCCATGGAATATCCTGGAGGAGTCAGATAATAGAAAGGGAGAAGAGAAATTTCCAGAGAAATGTGTGGTAGTGGTATTAGGCTGAATTCTGTAGATAGACACCACAGAAATAATTCCTACTTTACTCCATGTGTGTTTATACTGACAAAGGAGATAAGTAAGGAACAGAAATCTGTGTTTGTTTAAGGTCATGTAGGAAAGCAGTGGGCAATTTGGTATTAAAATGAAGAACTATTAATTCTGATTCCAGGTTGTTATATTCTTTTAAGCTCTTGTTCTAGTCTTCTTTGTAGCAATTCTCTTGCTTTCTTGGAGGCTTATTGATAAAAACTGCCCCGTTTCCTTGTCATAAAGGCTTTGTTATCATAGAACCTGAGGGAGATTTTTTTTCTTAAGATTTTATTTATTTATTTGACAGAAAGAGATCATAAGTAGGCAGAGAGGCAGGCAGAAATGTTCCTTGCTGAGCAGAGAGCCCAATGCTCCTGGGATTCTGGGCTTGATCCCAGGAGCCTGAGACCATGACCTGAGCCGAAGGCAGAGGCTTAACCCACTGAGCCACCCAGGTGCCCCTAACCTGAGGGAGTTTTAAGACAAGAGTGTTTCTTTCTTTCTTTCTTTTTTTTTTAAAGATTTTATTTTTTTATTTGACAGAGATCAGAAGTAGGCAGAAAGGCAGGCAAAGGGGGAGGAGAAAGCAAACTCTCTGCTGAGTAGAGAGCCTGAGATCATGACCTAAGCTAAAGGCAGAGGCTTAACCCACTGAGCCACCCAGGTGCCCTGATAAGAGTGTTTCTTAATCTCACCTTGGAGACATTATGCTGACATCCTTACAAACACAAAGACACTGGAATCAGGTATGGAGATTATATATTAAAAATATATATAGCAATAAGTCTTTCTTGGAAAGTGTAAGTATAATTAGCTCAAAGCAAGAGAATGGGAAATCCTGCTAAACATGACAAACTAAAATCATTCTCACTCTTTTTGATGGTTAGTTTTTATACCAACTGAGCCATAATACCCAGAAAATTTTTTAGCTTGATAAAATTACTTTTGCTTAATCTTTAGTGGATACTCTATTGTTGTTTCAATTCCAAGCTTTCAATAAAACAATAATTCATTAACCATTCATTCATTCATTCAACAAACATTTCTTAACATCTGCTCTATGCCCATCTTCACATTAATCTCCTCTCTGTACTTTTTTCTCTTGGTATGTTTTAAGGGTAAATGACTAAATTTCTACAAGTTGTTTGAGACAGAACAACGATTTCCCTTTAGCAGTCATTTTCTCCTCAGTCCCTTTTTGGAAATCCAGTTCTGCCCCTGGAAGTAGGAGCTTTCAAAGCATGCAGCCCCACTTTCCTAGACACAGTTGATTGTGCTAGAATTAAATGCCTGACCCAATCCAGTCAATGAGATGCTCTCTTCCAGGAAATCAGAATAGAAAGATAGACTGAGTTGATGTTGGTGTTTGAACTAGAAAACCAAAGATATGCTGGAGGCTGAGGCTGTCATTTTGGAGCAGAAATGATGGGCCCGCATGGAAACAAGTTAAGTCAGTACACACACCAGTTTGCAGAGATGGAGAGAAAGGGAGGGAGAGAGAGAGAGAAGCAGACACAGAACAGAATGAGGAATGATACAGCCCCGAGAGAGACAAGCCAGAGAGATGAGCTATTTAATGACTTTCCAGACTTGTTGGGATAGTTGCTGCAGTACCTTGGTTGGGCTCCATGAGCGACCTCTTACATCCTTAGAAGAAGTCCAACTTCACTCAAGCCGCCTTGGCAGAGTTTCTCTTTCTTTAAGCAAATTCTAAGATTGATCAATGTCAGCAAGCCAACTTAACAGAAGAGTGCTCATTTAAGATAATGCAAATGTAGTAATAGTAGATCACAGATTTATCCTGTGTGTATACAATCATGCTAAGATACTCAGAACTATTTTCTTGCTGATATGAAGGAATTAAAGAAATGTGAATGTAGGATCTTCCTTTTTTATTCATTTAAAAAAACATGTAGGCAGCTCTCTTTCTGGGAAGTGCGAGTGACATAGGGGACCTTTTATAGCCCATTGGGTCTATGTTGATTTATGGAAGATTGCTGACAATGCTGTGATTCAGTTTCCAGTCGGTACAAGGAAATATGATACAAGCAAAGACCCAGTACCTGACAACATATAGAATGAAACTTAGTGGTTTCTAAAAGATTTATGAATTACTTTCCAGGTTTAAATACGACCATTTTCAATATTATTATTATTGTTTTTCTAGGCCTATTAGCTGCTATTTTTAGTTTTTTTATTATTTTTAAAAAGATTTTATTTATTTATTTGACACAGAGAGAGAAATCACAAGTAGGCAGAGAGGCAGACAGAGAAAGAGGGGGAAGCAGGCTCCCCACTGAGCAGAGAACATAATGCAGGGCTCAATCCCAGGACCCTGAGATCATGACCTGAACCAAAGGCAGAGGGTTAACCCCACTGAGCCACCCAGGTGCCCTGCTACTATTTTTTAGATGAGATAATCGATCCATCCTTTCAGTCATTTTGAAAAACCATCTATAGTTGCCAAAAGATGTAGCTTCTAAAGTGTGCAAGCCTAAAGCCAGACTCTATATTTTAAAAATCAATATATTGTTTTTTCTCTTTTGAGGCCTAATTTTCATGCCTGTTTTGATAAAATCAGCATTACTGTCATGGGAAGAGATCTCACAAAGTGTCTTGTTTTCAATTACTTTGAAAAGGGGGCTCATTGTGCTTTGGAGTTTTATGATCTCATAGCGAAGATACTTAGGTTCCAAACCACAAGGCAGGTTGTGTTGATAAAACACTGTTTTTGTTGGATAAGAAAATATGTAATGCAAAATTAAAATGTGATCCAGGGACCAACCAATAACTGACCACAATAACAAATGTAAGATAAAAGGACATTATGAAGCTCCAGAGACAAAGGGATGAAACGGAATGGAGATTAGAGCTGCCTATCTTCAAAGTATAAATGTGGGATCATAACAATTTTTTTTTAACCAATAGTAATGGCTTTGAAATTGCAAATGAGTGTGGGATGGGCATTAGAAAGACTCTCTCGGGAACTATGAGTGTAGTGAGTGGTCTAATGTAAATGTAACAGATGGGATTACCATTAGAACAGCAGTCATCTTCTCCACCCAAATTGTTGTTTCTGTCCCAATTTCAAATATCCTGTCGGGCTATGTGTCAGATGACACATCCTGGTACTTGATTTTAAAATATGACTGTTGTGGCCACAGGACCAGGTGGTTGGGTTAGAGTGTTCTGAGATCAAGAAAGAAGACAGAAAGGAAACAGAAGCTTATCCATTCCCCAAATGTTTTTTGTGGGCCCATTGTGTTATGTTCTAGATCTTGGGTCATAAGGATGAACGAAACAGAAAATGCCCTTGCTCTTGTGGGGTTTACATTCTACTTAAAGGAGACAGACAATTAAAAAAAATAACAGCAATAAAAAAAAAATTATGTTAGATGTTGGTAAACGTTATAGAAAATAAAATCTGTGCTAGGCAGGTGAGAACGAGAATTGAAGGTGGAGTAATTTTATATAGGATGGTCAGGAAAGGCTTAAAGAGTTGGGAGGCAGGTGAGGAAGTGATGCTCACATTTGGGAGAAGAATATTCTGGGTAGAGGGAATGTTTGGGGAATCTCGGGCATATCAGTGGAGCTGGAGAGGTGATGGGTGGGGGAGGAAAATGGGAGGAGATGAACTCAGGGAATTAATGAGGGGGCAGGTCACAGAGGGCCTTTATAGACTCCGGAGTAAGGAAATTGGTTTTTGCTTTGAACCAGGGGTGAAGTCCTTATAGGGTTTTGAGCAGTGGAGGGACACAGTCTGATTTCCCTTTTCAAAGGTTCCCTCTGGCTGCCAGTTAGGAGAGTGTTGCAATAATCCAGGTGAGAGGTGTTGATAATTTGGACAAAGCTATAATAGTAAAGTCAGAGATCTGTGGTGGTTTGATTCTGGCTACGCTGATGGGTCAGACATTGAATGTAAGGCAAAGAGAAGAGTGACTAAAACATTTAGTGAAAGAAGCAGAGGGAAAGAAAGTAGAAGGGAAGGAAGGGAGGGAGTTACCTCGAAGAGTGCATACCTAAAGGGGCTAAGACCTTAGGACTTCTCTGGAAGCCAAGGAGAGAACTCCAGAATTTGATTACCTGAGTGGCCAGCATGTGTTTCTTGGCTCCTAGACATCTTGAATATGAACTTATGCTGGCTGTTCTTCTTGAATGCTAAAATCTGTTGGCCCCAAAGCAAAGTTCAGTTGTGTGGCCAACCCACTATGAATGTGTTAGACTGGTGGCCTCAGCTGGGAAGTTGGATGGAGGACGCAGTGGGAGCACAGTGGTGGTCTAGGAAGGAGAAAATCTCACCTCCTTCTGTCCCTAGAGAATCATGACCTTGAAAGACCAAGCCTTGATTTACAAGGCAGGAATGAGACCATGTGTAGAACAGATACCATTATCCCCAAACCCGAATTTCATCATACAAAAGTTACATGTATTATTTGCATTTGAGTGCTTTATTATATTGGAATTGCAGTGATATTATTAACATTTGTACAAATGCACAAAATCTTGTCTCCTCTTGCTCAAAAGAGATGTAAAATCTGACCTAGTTGAACAGTCTTCATGAACTCATTGTCCATTGGTAACAATAAATGTGTTCACGATGCAACAAAAAGCTTAACATAAAATTGAACATATTAAATGCTGTAGCAAGTATTTACATGTATGTACTCCCAATTTTTTTTTCTCCTTCCAGTAAGGAAGGTGGTTGCTTTACAAATAAGACAGACAAACATAAATGCTTTGCTGTTTACAATTACAAACAACCCCCCCAGTCCAGAACTTAAAGTGACAGCACCTTTTTTGTGGGGGCAGGTGGGGGGACTTCCTTAGTTAGCACTTATTTTCCACAAGGGTAAAATTTTTTTTTTTTTTTAAAGTTCTAGTTTTGGATAATATTTATATTCCAATTGTCCTAGAACGTTGTGTTTGAACAGAGCCATTTTTCTGGGCCTTTTCAGAAGATCCTAAACCCCAGGTCCTCTCCAGGGAGAAGATTTCAAGCTTATCATTTATCTAAGCCAAACCTCAAAACGCAGAACTCCTCTCTCTGAGGCAGGTGTGTTTAGCAGATTGTAGAAGGAAAGAGGGTGAGTAGGTCTTCTCTTCCACTGGCTGGCTGGTTGGGAAGGACCACTTCTCTGAAGCTCCCTTCACTGCAGCAAGGCTGATACCTTCCATTATCTCCTGTCAATGGCATCGGTATTCTAAAGGAGCCAACTAGAGTCTAATGAGCTTATTGTGCATAAGATTTTAACAATATAGTTAAAGCTAATTTATTCAGATTCCACATTCTCAGTCCTGAGGCTAAAATAATTCTCTTTTTCAAAAAATCCTAGAAAGTTCTATAATATGAAACTCAAGGTAGGAAATTCTAAATGGCTTATGAAGAGCTTTCTAAATCCTGATTTCTAATGAGCTACATATTATAAGTTGGTCGAAATACAAGAGCTGATCGTTACTGATTCCCCTCTGATGATAAGCTTGGAAACGTATCAGAGTGCCACTTAAGAATATTAATCATTTAACAAATGCTGGCAATTTGGCCTTACCCCCCTCTTCAACTTGTGGTAAATAGTTTCTTTTTTTAAAAAATAGACAATTTATAAGGAAAAAAATATATAAACACTCTTTAAGCAATTTGGCTATAAGCATTACATCACTGAAAAACTCCACAAGAAATAGTAAAATATTTTGAGTGGACATACACTTTTTCACTTTCACAACATCATGAGTTAGGGTTTTTGTTTTTGTTTTCATTTCTTTGTTTTGGTATTGAATTTTACTGGTAAGTTTATTGCTCAGTGTCTTCTTGTCCTTTCTCAGATTATCATTGTAAAACACAGGTGCTGTCCCTAATTATGTCACAAGGCAACATTGTATTTTTGAGACCCAGGAATGAAATAGGGCCGCTCCTACTTCCGCAGCCTCAGAGAGACGACGGCTGGGACCACAGTCCACATGCACCATGGTGCACAAAAGAGTAAGTCTCCTGGCTCATTCAGGACACTTTGGTTTGGAGGATGAGATAGAAAATTCTTAAGTATAGCTTAGCTGCTGCCTCACATCTGTTGCATAATATAACATTTTTTTAAAAACATGCTATGAATAAAGGGTTAAAGAGTATAAACTGGCTCTTCTCCTTGGTTTTCTCGTAGCAGGCTTCATCTAGGCTGACATGAGGAACATGTCTTTGCTAGGATACTAAGGAACGCACGCACATGTACCTGGTGCAAATATTCTGTAAAGTATTTTGAATGATGCAGCTCAGAGCCTGAGGGGAAGGGTGGGGAGTTGGAAAGAGGAGAGCAGAAGGCAAGTCTGAGGAAAGGGAGGGTCTTTGAGAAAGAACCAGAGAAACAGGGATTGAAAAAGCTAAAGTGCAATTTTAAAATATAAATTATTTTAAAAGCAGAAGAGAGACTCTAAATTGCTACTGTTCGCATAGGCACAGTTTTATTCAAATTTAAATGGGTTGTTTCCTTTTCCTTCTCAGATATACTGCATAATGGAACTTGAATGGCTTAAAGCTACGGCACATTGTTTGGGACTGGACAAAGAGAGCACTAAGGAAGCTGAATAGTGCAAGGCATTCTAGGAAATCGGGGTGGGGTGGAGAGAAGCAGAGATGAAGTTCCTACACTTTTATAAGAAAGCTGTTCCAGTTATAGTTACTGATTCCCTTTAGCTGAACTCTGCTTCCTAAAGGAAAGAGCTTACTTTAAGAATTAAAAAAAAAGGAAAAAAAGAGAAAAGAATGTTTTAAAAAACCGTTCAGAACATAGATTAAAAAATAACTCACAGAGCAATAAAAATCCTTGAAATTTCTATGCACAGAGATCTAAGCAAAATACTTCCACCATATGATGGAGAATAGCCATTTGAAACCCTGAAAAATGAAGATATACACAACTAGAGTAGTTTATTATGAACTAATACTTTAAAAACAAGTAGATCCTACAGAAGAATACTGTTCAAATGGAATGTTTCAAAATAACATTTATTAATAAATATCTTATAAAATTCTAAATTAATAGATTCCTGTTCAAATTTTGCTTTGGTCCTTGAATTCCACTGTATACACACATACATACAAATATATTTTCTTCGATGGTTTTTATTAACCAAAAACAAGCACATTCTATCCTAACTGGATGGCTAGTTTGATAGCAGTTACTGATGCTTAAAACTCCCCAGCCAAAGGCTGGTCTTTCACCGCAGCTGGTTTCAGATTTTAATGGCAAACTCAACTGACACACTAAAATTGACATAACAGCGACCCAACTCCCTGAACATCCATCACTGACACCCCTCTGTTCAGAACACGTGCTGCATTTGATTTCTTTGACCAGCTAGGCTCCAAAGAGCTTTGCTCCAAGTGAGTCACCCAAATTATCACCGTTCATTCAGTGACACCACAGAAACTGCCATCTCCCATGGGCCATGTGAACACTGGCACTCGCGCACACTAACATGGAGGTAGGGTGGGGTGAATGGGGGTGTAAAGGGAAAACATCAGCTTAAGACAGACTTTAAAATGAGTACGTTCATCCTTAGTTAGGATTTACTCCACCTGTCCTGGCATCATATGTTGGGAAATGTCTTAAGAAGAAATACAAAGTGAACGCCTCAATTTAGGATCACCTGGTAAAAATGCCATCGGGGTACCTAAGTCGGGTCCCATCACAGAAGGCAAGGGAAGCACTGTAGAAATTTTCAGGTAGGCTGGCAGTGACTTCAAAGGCAGATACTGCCAATAAAAAAAAACCACACACGAATGAGGAGAGGCGGTGTTGCAGGGCCTTTCCTTCCTCAGGATGGGTGCTCTGAAGGTCATTACACTGGCTCGGTGAAGATACAGGCGGATGACCCAGGAATTGAGTGTGAGAGGAGAATGGGGCAGAAAAAAAGATGTTTTCCCAGATTGGCAAAAAATGGAGGGCACAGAGGGGTTTTTCAGGCAGACTGATTGTTCCATGGTCTGGTGAAGGCTGGACCTTCCAGTGAAGTACTTAATATTGATAAGCTGAGTGTGGATTTGACCAACAAGCCTTTCTGTTCAGGGTTTCAAGACACTCTGACAACGAGCTGGCATCTTCCATTTTACTGTATTTCCACACTGCTAATGAACATACCTAAAGGCTCTAAATATAACAAGAAGACAGTTTATTCTAATTGTACATTGAGGGCCGTTTGCTAATGTGTGTGTGTGTGTGTGCGTGTGTGTGTGGTTGGTTTGCCTACTTAGCATAAAAAACAGACATAATTGAGCTCTATATAATGCACATCAGTCAAACTGTCAAGTTGCTGAATTAAGAAAACTCAAGCAAGTTCTTCACTACAGAGGCTTTCAACTTAACAACTAAATATTCAATCAAGAGGTGGAACAGAAGTAAAGTAAACCATAATTTTAGTGACAGCCCATTCCCTGGACATTCTGATATTACCCGTGGATTTTTAAAAAATCCATTTCATTAAATGCTATGCATGCAGTAAAAAAAGAAAAGTTTTTGTTTACTTAAAGAAAAAAATAAGAAAAACATAAAAAGATTTAAAACCCAAGCAAACATTTCAATGAGTTCTTTTTCTTTTTTAGAGAGACACATACATGGTCCTAGAAAGGAGTTTTGAAAAAATTAAATTTAATATCAGAATACAGATATATCTTAAATATTTCTTAGGAAGCCAGTTAGGTTCAACCGTTCAGCTGTTACTGCTGGGATGCGAAATAAAACAACTATGGATTCAGTATTTAAAATACTTAAAAAGAGATATGTTTGTCTAAAATATAATAGAAAATCCTTTACACTTTTTTCTTTTCTTTAAAAAAATTTTTTGTTTGTGTGTGTGTGTTTGTTTTGTTTTTGCTTTTGTTTGGATTTCTAGATCACATAGCCAGTCATGAGTTTCTCTGGACACTCAAAACTTTCTTTTGAAAGCACTACATACATTAAAAAAAATTGCTGATAAATACTGATTTGAAAAGTAAGTTTTTCAATAAAACTGAAACTAGTTATAAAAATCATGCTTCATGACCCTCATATTTTTTTTCTCCAAAATAGATTGTTATGCTATAGTGAGAGATAAACACATAGACACACACCCATACATGTCTTTCCCTTTCCTGAACGCTTATAAAAGCTACACCTTTTGTAAAATAATATTATTTTAAATCCCATGAACACACATACACACATGTGCACACGTGTGCACACACACACACACACACTCAATCTCTCATGTTAGGTCAAGCATTCAAATGGAGATGAAACACCAGCACCTGTCTAGACTGCTAGAGGGAAACATTAGTCCCTGTTACTTGTGAGATGTGATATTAAAACATTGACACAGTAGAATGGCTTGTTTCAAGGAGGCACAACTGTGGTTCGGGACTATCTACTTTCCGTAATAGGCAAGTCAATGAAAGTTCTTGGAAATATAAATTAGAATTATTCAGAAGAGTGGAGTAGCCACATCTATGGGATTCTTTCAGCAGCCAAAGGCTTTGGCTGTTCTGGGAGGGCTGAAAGCACCCCTGTGGAAACATTAGGTTTTCTCTTTCTCTTTGTTCCTCCAGTGGTACGTCTACTTTCACTCACCAGAACAGCAGAGCCAGTTCCATAGGCTTAAGAGAAAAAATAATAATAAATCTTAATCTATTAGCAGCTGATGATTGAACAATGCAATATGTGTAGTGAATAGAGCCCTTCTGAATTATTATACAGCACATGGATTTTCAACCTTATAGACAGGCCATATAAACCAGTTGTAATTCGAGGGTGTGATGTTATAGCCTGCATCATAATCTGGACCTTCACAATCGAGGCTTAGAAGGCTCCCTTCCCTGGTGTCTCCACAGCTGGCATTCAACAGTGCCTCACCTATGGCTAAGCCACCTTTTATTTGCTCTGATTATTAAAAACATTAAATCAGGCACATTAAACATCTCTTGCTTACTATTTTGTAAAAAGCAAGAGGTGAATGAACTCCAGCTGTGGGTCATGGGCAAGGAAAGCAATGGCTAGATCCATATTTTTGAGATTTGCTTTTTTTTCCTCTTTAAGCATTATTTTCTTTTTTACGTGCAATTCTAAAGGGGGAAACATAAAACAGCAGAAAGTAAAAATAAAGAGTTCACAGGGAGCCCGGGAAAAAGTGGAAATGGAAAGGAAGATTGGAGGAAATCAGAGGATAATTCAAGGAAGTGGACCAAGGGGAGGAGGTGGAGGGGGGTGAGAGGCTTGGTGGCTTTATTTGGACATCAGTGGATCTTATGATTTTTTGTAGGAAGAGACAAAATTATGGAAAATGCTCTGTGTTTAGCTGGAATTCTGGCGACATCACAGCACAAACTCGACGTGTGTTACAATGTCATGAGACTCACCACCCAGTTACCTCGCATCCGTTTACTTGACATCTAGGTTATGCCTCATTTTGGCTAAAAGCTGCGGGTTAACAAGGTTCGATGTTTCAAGCAAAGGGTTGGACTGATAAGAATGAAACTGTGTCTATATACAGAAAGAGTTCAATTTATAAACAAGTTAACTGGTACCAGAAAATTGGAGAAAAGCACCAAAGCATTTCCCAAGCTGATAGATTAATTAATTGCATAACTCCCTTTTTTTCTTATATAACTAAGTATAAAAGACGACATTTCCATAATAACTATAAAAATGAAAGCCAGTCTCTGAAGGGCTGAGGAGTCTTCCAGGTCTGAGTTAATTCTAAAAATGCCCTTAAAAGAAAGGACGCATGATATGCGACAGCTCTTCTTGGAGGCAAGGTCTGACCCACCAGCAGATTTTAAAGGATGGGATTCAGGTCTGTTCTGTGAGTGGTGAGCTGACTGAGGGTGGAGCTCCCCACCACCTCGCTCACAGCGGAGGAAGTGGTGATGGTATTGTGTTGGATGACCTGCTGCTGAGAGCAAGCTGGGACAGGACTGGCAGGAGGGCTGCTCTCTGGACCTAGGAGAAAGCACACACACACACATACCAATATAGCTCTTCTTGGGTGGACCTGTGGGCTACTCAGGGAGACGTTACTATGCGTTTACTAGAGATAGAAGATTTTCACACATTTGCTCCTGGACATTAATTTCAAAACTTTATTTTAAACTGTAGTCAAAAGCTATGCCTTCCCACTTTATAGCTACAAGCAAAGCCATGCTTTCTGTACCAGCAACATGATTTCATGTGTTCGAGTCTTGGGATGTAAACTTCCCCATGTTTGTATCTTCAAATAGCCATCCATATATCAAATGTGGAAAAATACTCACATGTGGTGGGAGAATCTGTGTTGCTCAATCTAAAAAATTATTTGAAAATAAATTGACCTTCAGCCATGAATCCCTGCTCCTCCCACCATCCCCCACTCAGCTAGCATTTAACTTATTGACATTCCAGATGCAGAAACTGGGGTCTAGAGAAAGGGATTCGCTTTACTTATTGGAAAACTAAGACCAAGTCACTAGCTTTTCAGCCCAGTGAATAAGAGGCAGCATACCTTAAGGCATTGGATGTGATTTCCCCAAGGCCTCTACCCAGCCCCTGGATTTCTCTGGAAGACGGCTAGCCCACTGGTAGTTGGGCTCCCGCAAGCTATTTTCCTGCTGGCTGCGGAACTGGAATTCGATAGGATTTTACAATGTGAAATGCCAGGGAAATTCTAGCCAGAAGGTATTGGGAGGTGGTGGGCATGGGGAGGGGGTCAGAAAAGAGGGATCCCCCTGGTGCAATCTACACTTTACTTTTGCTCTTTCAATAAAATCCAATGCAAAATTAGTGGCAAAAAATTGGACACTAAGAAAAGAAGAAAAGTCAATGACTTACTTAGATATCCTTGTGATTCTTTCTGCATGGCTGTTATTGGACAGTCTTTATGCGTTAACAACAACTGTTTCAGCTGTGCCACCTCATTTTTCAACATGGACACTTCATTCTGGAAAGAGACATATCAAAAATGTTTGAAAGGACCAGAGAATACAAGTCCCCATGCACTTTCAACAGTGATATTGGCAAACTTTTCTATTGTGTCTCAATGACATTAAGGATAATATTTAATGGGATTCACCTGAAAATGTGTAGCTTCCTTTTAATTTGGTCCTCACATTTACCAGGGACTTATTGAAAAGACCATATTTTAACTCTAGAGCTGAATCCTATTAAAAGTTCAGAGCATACCCTTTAGGTGATGGACTCTGGAGTGAGGTGACTTAGGTGGGAATCTTCACCCGACACTTACTGGGTGAGTCTAGGCAGGAAATGTAAGCCAGATGAACTTCAGAGACCTTGTTTATAATTGGGGATCAAACCAGAATAAAGTTCTTTTGAGTTGTTGTAAGGACTGAATGAGACAATAGATATAAAATGCTGAGAACATTGCCTAGCCCATACTGAGCAATCACTGAATTTAGCTATTCATAATAATCATCTTCACACTGATAAGCTCAGGTTGACATTTAATATGTGAAGAAAGTGAATGTTGCACATGCATTGGGGAGCACCGAGTGGCAGAATTAGTGGCTTGAAATGTCTTCAGAATAAGCCAACCCATCTACCACCAGATTTCCCAAAAGAATTGTCAAATGGGCTATAATTCAACAGAGCACATCCCTGCCTGACATCTGCTTAGTAGAAGGTATGGAAGCACATGGAACAAATGTTGATCCTCTACTGGTGGATGAGGTCAGCCCTGGAAGGTGAGGGGCAATGAAGTTTTGGCTACAATTAAATTAATTTGTTTGGCTCATTAACTAATTTGGCTAATTTCAGTCAATAAACTTTTTCCACCATCAATAACAGGGTGTTGTGGATTGTGTGTGTGTGTGTGTGTGTGTGTTTCTTATTTACTTAGATAAGTGCCTCGAATCTCCACTTTATGTAATTCACAAAGACCGATTCATAGCTTTGTAGAATAATGTACTTGGCACCACTGTCTACAAATACGAATGTAGAATAGATTGGTTGGTTCTAAGGTGCTTCCACTTGATAAAAGTAAACTGTAAACATAGCACTATCTCAAACAACCCATAAATTTATAGTTGTGATAAATATTACCCTTTCTCTGGCCAATATTCATTTGTGGCTGCCAGACATTGTACTCCACATGTGGGAGACTTTAAAAAAACATACACACAAAAAAGGGTGTTTTAACATTGCTGTCATTAAGTTGTATCTACACTTTTATTATGAACCTGGCTTTTTCAGGCATGTATTTATCACCTAAAAAAGTAAGTCTGGGATTCTAAAAGTTAATTAAAAATTTTTTTTGAAACTTGTTTTAAAGGTTACCCCACATTTCTAAATTCATTTGCAAAATATAAGTAATCAAATGTTGAGTAACATAAGTAACAAAATAGTAAGAATCTAATCTAGGAAAGTTTTTCTCTTCTCCAAATTTTATAAAATAAAAATGCCTATCAGAGAAATTAGCATTAATGACATATAAATCACTTAATTGCTCTTAATCCAAAAACATTCAGGAGGGTGAATTGCATCTCCCACTTCCAAAGGAGTGTGATCGGTAAGGGGCCCTATCGAAACCAAAATTGACCCTTGTCAATTCTGGGTCAGTGTGACAACTTTATTTATAAGACAACTTATTGTAGCCTTAAATACCAGTTCTTTCCTCTTTGATTTCATGCCCATTTAAATTCAGACAGCCTTCCTTGCTTTTCCCAAATTCCCTCTGCTTAAAATGGCATGTGTAAAAGAAAGTTACTTTTAGACTGTTAAATAGAAGGCAACCCCTAGTTAAAAAAAAACAGGGACTCCTGGGTGGCTCAGTTGTTAAGTGTCTGCGTTCGGCTCAGGTCATGATCCCAGAGTCCTGGGATCTAAGTCCTGCATCAGGCTCCCTGCTCATCGGGGAGCCTGCTTCTCCCTCTGCCCCTCCCCCTGCTCACGCTCACTTGCTCTCTCTCTGGCAAATAAATAAATAAAGCTTTAAAACAAAATAAGCAAAACCAAAATTGAAAGTGGAAAAAAAGAAAACATATATATATATATAATATATATACATATATTATATATATATATAACATAACATATATATATATTTTTTGGCCTCAAAATGAAATGTCATATTATTTGCATTTACATTATAGATATAGTACTTTTCTAGAATCACAACCGCTGAGACAACTGCACCCTAATCTCTGCTGCAAATAATGCAGACAATCGTTCTTAGAGAATGGAGTCAAGCTCCAATTTTTACTAAACCCTCCCATAATCTTCTGTAACCTAGGAAACAACAAATAAGTATATAAAATAAAACAAGATTCTCTTGCTTTCTTACACGTCTAGAAAAAAAAAAAAAAATCGCACCTGGCAGCCATCTTGGAGAGGTCGATTTTAGTCTCCGTTTCTTCCCCAACTATGTCCTGCTCCGTCCCACCTTTTCTAGGCATTGTTCGATCTCCCAGGCACAAAGTGTTCAAGGCCCCTTCCTTAAAAAAACACGTTCAATTCCGTTCTTTGGGCTTCTACAATCACAAGGAACTAACTGCCTACAGTACTTGGCACACCCCAAGTTGTTTCATAAGAAAGCTTTTGCTTGCATGAGAGGCCACAATAAAACAGCACCAATCACTGCTATGAACAGCATATGTGGTGTCTTGGCCTCTAACCAAAGCCCCATACAAAGTAGATGACCTGAGTGGCACTTTCTGTCTACAGAGAGCAAAGCACTTTAGTCCTTCTTAAGTATAGGAACTGAGAACCTGCGAGTTGGAGGGTCTGTAAAAGCGTAGGAACCTGAAGACTACGGTGATAACTGATCATTGTTTAAAGATATGTGTGAATAAGGACATATTTCTTAAAATAATGTGTTAATATTTATGTTAGTTATCTTATGGTTGGAAAATGAATGCTGATTAGTATTCTCCATAAAGAAGAACCCTCAGCCTCTGTTTAGATCATACACATGTAATTATGATGCGGATAAGGAGGAAATCAAAGTCTAATGGCCACAGAAGCAACAGAAATTCATGGCGCAGCTTCCAGCAGGAAGAAGAGCTCTCAACAGGGGTTTCAGAAAAACACGGTTTGGCCTCCCCATTGGCCACACCAGACTGACCTAAAGCAAGATGGTGGGACTAGTTCCCTAGTTCCTGCCGGCAACATAGTTGTTTATTCTTTGACTGTCTCTGTTTTGCCTTCTATGGAGAAAGTTAGCTACCTAATAATCGAACGAAGGACTTGATCTTTATTTTTTATTCATTAGTTAACTACTTTTGGTATTCTCAGATAAGCTTGTATTTCAAGTCTCAAGTTTCCTGAGGGAGCCAGTTCTAGTACCTTCTGTGCTTCCAAATCTTATCAGGGCAGATTCCAAAGCTCTATCTACAGTTTCTGTGTAGCACAAAACCTCGCGTCCCTGTATGGGTTCATAGTGTTGAGAGAGCCTCTCGAGCCTCCATCAGATTCCACAAGGGAGACTTTGGGTTAAGAAAGGTCCAGAATCACTGCCCTAGAGAAAGCAGGGGGGGGGGACCGTGGGCTGTGCACATGCATAATCATCTTCAAATCTCCACAATGACTGATCAGGAGAGGCCAGACTCTATTTTAAATAAAAATCCTTTTCAAGGGAACATAAGTATGAATTCACCTTGAATTCATTTTGGAAGAGAACCACCAGATAGCAAATGTTTCAAAATGCATGAAAGAAATAAAATGTTGCCTACAGCTCTAGCAGGGAAATAAAAACCAGGCCTTCCCGAGGCACTTTCTTACTCTGAATTACCTTGCTAGATGAATTGAGGCGAATCACCATTTTTTTTTTATTCCCCTACGTGAGTTATAGTAATCATTCTAGGTCTTCATATAAAAGCACTTTACAAAAAACAAGTATTAATAATCAGGTATGAATTACCTATTGAAATCAGCCCTTCAGTTTTTTCACTTTTTGAACCTCGTGTGGGTTAGCTACTTTAAAGCAGTTAGCCATTGAGACAGGGACTGTCGGAGGCTAGATGTGGTTGAATTAATCTGTTCTTTAATCCATAAGGTTGTCTGGGGGATGAAGTAGCGCCCCTATAGAGACATTCAACACCATAATAACATACTTTAAACAAGTACTCCAAGAAGTCCCTAATAGCTGCATTTGGAGTTTTTGGCTTTGGGGATGTCATTTTGTTAATATGAGAAACCCAGAATGCTTTTTGATGCAAAGCAGTAGTCTGTGCCAAAAAAATAATTATCAAAATGGGCCCTATAATATAGCCCCTCCCCACTTATTTTTTTCTTTTTTGTAGATTAGCTGAGGCCAGGTTTGTTTCATGCTAAAACAAAGGACTTTCAATTTGTAAGGCAACAGTTCCCATCTGGCCTCTTCTCTTGCCAAGTCCCAAACCTGGGCTCATGTGTCTAAAATTTCAGCAGCGACTTAGGCCATGTGTCTTTGCACTAAAAAAGAAAAGCAATTATTTCCATGGGTGACCAGATGATTTCCATATCGTCTACTATACACAAACAATCCACTGAGTGCCACATCAGTCAATGATGAATTCAGAGCTGATCTTAGCTACCCTGTCAGAGAGCAGCACGTGGGTTCTTCTTGTTTAAGAATTCTCTACAATCAAAGATCCTAGAGCTGTGGGTTGGGTCAAGAGAAGACTTGCTTGCGTACTCATCCTACTATGTGCTGCTGTCTTTGTGACTTTCCGGAAGACTCTTCATGTACCCCCGGCCTTAGTTTCTCCCTATACAAAAATGTCAGATCAGGTGGTTTCTAGTATTTCCCTCACTTCCTATACCTGTGTTGACCTCTTGGGGACAGATTTGTTGTGAGACAAGGAAATGAAGCCTGGGAGTTTGATTTTTGTTTTCTTAGGTCTGATTTTTTCCAATCTGAAACTCTGCAGCCCAGCTAAAAGGTTCTATGCTGAAAAACAACCCAGAAGTGGCAGCTGGCCATCCAGACCTTGGATATTCCATTTGGCTAGAGTTTGTTTGCTTAGCACCTTCCATTTCTGTTTACTTAAAATTTGGCTCACTGGACCAGCCTCAAGAGAGACACCTTTTTCTTTTGACAAAGGTCCAGTAGGAGGGAAAGGGTCATTCAAAGGTAGCAGAAGCTGCGTATCCTCTCCAGCATCACAAGGCATGATGTGGAGCACTGAGCATCACCGAAAACATGGAATGGCTGTGGTTTCCGTCCCTCTGAAGCAAAGCAGTGGTTGGAAAATACAAAGATTTTAGTCTTTTCAGAGTCTGTCTCTTCCTTGGGCACTCCTTTACCAACCCAAAACACTGGTGCCTGTTGACTGGCCCAAATAGAACTTTTTTCCCCGGGTTTTTGGAGCCTAGAATTCTAGTATCTTCTTTTCCTTAGCCATGGATGGTTCTAAAGAGTGGTAAAAATTAATGTATTTGGGTCTCATAAAGGATAAATTAACCTTCTGTGTTTTATAAGAGCAATGACATAGAGGCATATGCCAAGTCATGAACATATCTGATCACAAGGTAGACCAGCATCTTCGCTTCTCCTGGATCTCTACTATGACCTCCTTCTGTTTTCAAGCTCCAGCACCACAGTCAATATGCTGAAATACTTCTGCAAGGATGCATTTTAGTTAAAACTGATTTAAACATGTGGGCATCTGATAGGTGCCAGCTGGCTATTTATGGCTCCTTCATTCAAGACACTAGGGCTGATTTTGCCCCCACAGGGGAGATCTGACAATGTGTGGAGACTTTTCAGTTGTCACAACTTGTGGGAGAGGTAGAGGGTGCTACTCATATTTAGTGGGTGGAGGTCAAGGATACTACTATCTACCTAAACAGGATACCATGGAGAACTATCAAGCCCCAAATTCAATAGTGCCAAGATTGGCAATTTCCAAGAATGGCACAATCTTGGCCATTTTCATGGTCCTCTTGCAAACCTCAGAACTGGTAGCAAATTCCAGGGATTCCCACACTATGGTCATTGCAGAGCCAGTGGCTGTAATATTTGCTAGACCCACATGCACCAGAGTTTTTATTGACTTAACGTGTTTGTACAAATTAACTCATTATTTAATATTTTAGCCTCATCCTTACCAAGAGAATCTGTGAAATTGAAGGTCTGATGTTCTAATTACATTTTTCAATTCACATACAAATAAAAACATTACTCTGCATGTTTAAAGTGCTTACCATCTTCTACCTAAAAGCTTCTCACATACCACTGGGGCTGTGGCTAGAACTAAAACTTTTCAAGCTGCTACGGCTTTCAAGGTGTTAGAGTCCAGCCATCCCACTGTGGCTTGACTCCTTTCAATCACATCCTGGCCAAGTGGTCAGGTGGCCAGTGCTTGGACACTCCAGAGAAGGGGAACTCCTTCATTTACTCAACAAGCAGATATTGAGGATAGATACACACAGACTCAGCAAATTAGCTTGACACTGTACTAGAAAGAGGGGGTAGGAAGTAGGGGGACAGGGTAATAAAACAAGACACAGCCCCCACCTTCATCCACATAGAAGGTACTGGGAGGTACTTCTCCCATATCTGTTCTATATGTTTCCCAGTTTCCTTCTCATGTCTACCACAAAAAGGATGAAAAATTTAGGGGAAAATGTGAACATCCATATGCAGCCCATGCATAACCCAAACTTCCTTTATATATTTTCAGTTTATACATTGGCCGCCCCAAGGCCATTTCCTTTGAATGCATGGAATATGCAAAAACTTTGGGCGTTTGGTACCCCTAGTGTTCCGTTCTAAGGACGCACAGAGAACCAGGTGGGGGAAGGGAAAGGTGACCTACAAACTACTAAGGTACAGATCCTCCCTATTTGGGGCAATCTTTCCCCCCTTCCCTCCTCTCTTCAGACTTTGTCTCTGCTCCTAGAAGCACCAGGCTATAATCTCTAACTTTTACTGCCCTCCCCGCATGCTTGCCACATAATCTATTTAGTTGCTCTCTTTCTGCTGGTGGAGGGGGCATTTCTTTTTGTGTGAGAACAGACTCCTGGGGCGTATCATTTGTATGGCATGACGTCTGCCACAGAGGCCCTGGTACGAGACTTTTCTCTCCTTCTCGCAAATGCTCCCTAAAGGGGCCTTGTTGGAAAAATGTCCCCCACTGAGCCACCCACGAAAGGGAAAAATCCCACAACATTCAAATCTTGTTGAGTTTGAAAATGAGATGGGAACATGTCTTTTCTTATAGAGCAAAACAACAACTATAAATGTTCCTTTCTTCAATGAAACTGAAACAGAGGTAATCTAGTGGGAATCAAAGCCACCCTCTCCCTGGTGAATATAAAGATCTACAGTTGGGCTGAAGGTTTATTATGTGCTAGGTACCGGGAAAACTGCTCTGTAGACATGAGTTCACTTATGACTCCCAACGACTCTACAATTCCCATTTTATAGATGAGGAGACTGAGGGCCAGGGAGGTTAAACACAACTTATTGCTGAACAAGAGTGTGAACCTCCGTCCAACCAAAGCCAGTGCTCTCAGCCCTATAACTCAGCTGAGCAGGCTCTCCCTCCTCAGAGCTTTGTAGACAGGCTGGGTTAAAACTGAACACTTATTTTGTTTTGTACAGGGTCTTAGAGTGAATAAACCTTGGGGAGTAAGTGCAGTTGCTCTGTGGGCGAATGTGAGGTAGTACTGCTTAGGTCAACAAGTGCCCGCCAGGAGGCAGGAAATGCCAACCGTACACAGGGCCTTTGAGTCCCGAGAAAAGAGACAGTGGCCTGCACCTGAAGCTGCATGTTTGTCTGGGTGAGTTCTTCTGCTTTCTTTTCCAGTGACATCACCCAGACCTTCCTCTTCTGTCTGCAGCGGGTGGCAGCTGCCCGGTTCCGTTCCAGAAATTTCCTCCGCCTCTCGTCAGGATCCTCGTCCACCACCCTTCGCCGGCGGCCCCCTGTGGGCTGGGGCGGCTGTATTGTCTGGGTTGGCTGCATCTGTTGCGTCGCTGGTGAGACCTGCTGGGCACGGGGGCGGGGGGTGGGGGCAGAGAAGGAACATGCTGGGTGAGAGAGGAAACCCAAGCTGGTGTTGGAACACAAAGCACAGAGGGTCGGTTGCTTTAGTAAGCAGATCAAACTTGTTTTCTAAGAGCGAAGTCAACAGTGAAATCACGCTCATGAAAAGAAAAAGCATTGCCGAACTATCTTCTGTGATATTTTGGCAAGACGTAGAAACGACTTTTGAAACAGAGTCAAATAGATTTTTCCCTGACAGGCATTTGGCTGAATCATGGCAGAGGAAACTTGGTTTTTTTTTGTTTTGTTTTTTTTTTTTGGTTTTTTTCTTCTCCTTCAGATGTTAAACATGTTTTATTTAAGGTCCGTTTTATAAAGGTTTAATGTGCCAACGCAGGGCTGCAGGTGAAAAGAGAGAGATCAGGATTATTGTCCTAATGCTGCTGCATCTTCTGTCATCTGCAGAAAACTCCTTCTGGGCAGGCTGTGGGTTTCCATTCTCCTGGTGTTAAAACCGTGTTCCTAGAACACACCTCTGGGACATCATCGTCACTGTGACTCCCACCAAAAGAACCCTCTGAAGCCCGGAAAGCAGCTGAAATCCTATTTTTTCCATTTCAGAGCTCTTAGCACAAAGGGCCTAGTTGGACCTGCGAATTCCAGGTGGGTCCCTCTGCTCCTTGGAACTCTGCCGGAGACAGGCTTTTCCAGGTGGCTAGAAGCGGGGCCTATGTGAGGGATGCCCAGAGCAGCCCTGAGTTCTGTAATACACCTTGTCTGTGCTGCAGGGAGAGATGGCTGGGAGTCACCACACACTTATATCGTAAGGAAACCCTAGCAGTGGCAAAGCACTGTATTAAAACTTTTTACTATACTCCTAGATTCCTTCTAAGAACTACAAAGGGCTCAGCAGTATCTAAAGTTTTGGAGACTCCTGCCCATACAGCTTTATGTCCCTTCATAAGGCCGACACATAGCACTGAGCGAAATTTCCACGACCGATTCTTTACGTGTCTAGGCACCTAATGCCTTCCCTAATGCACCACACGCCTTTCCCCTTTCTTCGCTCTCAATAAAGGGTGGCTTTTTTTTTTCCTTCTCATTTCTCAGTCACTCAGACTTATGGCTGTAATATCTATAAAGTTGTTTTATAAGAGACATTTAACCTACAGAAATAGCCAACAACAACAAAAAAGTGTTTAAAAGAAAGCGCAGCAACCTTTCCTACCACATTCTAATTCTGTGATTGAAATCAATCAGAATGATTGTAATTGTACTAATCATGGCTACTAGTTGACACCAGCTGACTGAAAGTGATATATTTTAATCTTAAACTCTATCAAAGCAAATATGACTCACTGTAGAAGAATCAGGCTCAGGACTGAAGTTGGACTGCATCTTGGTCATTTTATTTAAACCAGAGACATTTTCTAAAATTGCTTATTGGTGATTCCTTTCCTCCCTATCACAGAGAAATAACACAATGAATTAACCGTTGAAGGTCTTACTCACCAGAGTGGCTGGTGAAGATGTAATCCTTGTTACTGGCAAAGGGATAGCACTTGTCATTTCAGGTGCTAGGTGCTGAGCTAATGACCTCAAAGCAAAGCATTAGAAAGGAACCTGCAAACTTGGCTATTTTTGCCTATACATTTCGAGAATTCGTGATGTCTAATTGTCGGCACTGGACAAGATTCTTAAGTAGGCAAAACTGGGTGTGGCTCTCCACTGCCAAGTCCTCACATTTGATACTGTATTCTCCCACTCCAACTTTAACCAACCTCTATCTCTGACACTTGTCCTGTGCCTTTTCCCAACAGGGTAAGTTATGTGATGGTTATAGGCTCAGTCCAGGTTCAGGTTTCAAAGTGGAGTTTGGATAAGAGGAATTTCTAGTGACTGAGGAGTGGCACCAGGACTCAGAAAGCACATCTGTACATGCAAGAGAATCCTAAGCAGCCAGGAGGAAGTGCAAATGCAACCCTAAGACCAGAATTTATGCCCTTGGTAATTATCGTTACTTATTTTTAAAATAGAATTCTGTTGGCATAGAGGCTCTGAAGTTTTGATTAAAAAATAACAATTTGTTATTTCATAAAGACAAATTTATTCCAAGTCCTATTAGAATCTCACAGTCGGGAGGGCCTTAATAAACTTCTGTTCCTAATGCTTTAATCATCGTACGCTTAAGCAATATGACAAGATCTCTAATCAGCCAAGTTCATACAATTTAAGAGTGGCATTTTGAGTACTGTCTGAATGATCTTGTTCAAATTTTAACAAGAGTAACCTGTATTCTTTCTCTTTAGTATGGGATTAAAAAGCAACTGTTTGTGCAGCTAATTATAATAGCAATTAACTAATTACATATACAATTGGCCGCTTACTGACTTGAAATGGAGGGCAATTGGCTAATTGGTAATTAGCTAATGAATGGCTTTTATATTCAACTAACGGTTAAACTTGTCCGTGAAGTAACTAGCTGACAAGGCAACCAAAGCTTGATGTTATCCTTTTCCTTAAAAAAAAAAAAGTACACATGTGAATTTATCTGCCTATCTTTGCACTTCTAGTTTTCTCTGTCCCTTCTAAAGGTCTCCATGTCCTACTATGACATTTGACTAAAAAGGTGCTTCGGGTGGCATTTTATTGATGAACCACTTGCTAAACATCTATCATATTACTTCAGTTTGGAAATTAATCTTGCCTAACATATATTGATTCCTGTGTCAGGGGCTTTACAAACATTCTCTTAATACTCCTAAAAGTCTATGAGTTTTGTCTGCCATTACCCCATTTTGCAAATGGACCATGGAAGCTCAGGGAGTTAGCTGACTGACCATAGTCACATAGCAAGTAAGGTGGGAAAAGAATTTACAGATTTCTCACTCCAAAGCCTGCACTCTTCCTCGCTATATAGAACTCCTCTAACTACCTTTGCAAAAGTCAGCTGACCTAATGAACAAGCTTATCTATTGAACAGATCAGAGAGTACTTGTGAATGACCCATTTTGTGGGTGGCCGTCCAAGTTTGGTGTGTAATAAAGGAGAGGGTTCTAAAGGTCCCAAACTACCTTGGGTGAGGTCTGGAGGCAGACGATGGAAGAGATGGTGAATAAGTGTTATTTGGCGATTCCAAGCTCCCAACACCACTCTGACCCAACTGGTTGGAACCTGGCAGTGTGGAATGGGTGGAGGGGACTGACAAAGGTCATCCTGCTTGAAGATCCAAAGTATCTAGGGCCAGTCCTAGACATGCCCTTCCTCCACTTACTAAAACTTACTCGGATACACGGACCCGCCTCTCTTCTTGGGCTGGGTGACATAACGTCTGCCTGGTCCCCCAACCCTCTTTCAGTTGCGTCTAAATGCTGGCTTTCTTTCTAGCCACTTCTGGTGACTCTCCAGCCCTGGGATTTGCTAGAACCAATCATCTATCTTCTACAGAGTTTGGCTCTCTGTCGGCTCCCTCCAACGCATTTCACACTAGGTGGCATGAGTCACCTCTCTTCCTCATTTACCCAGCACCTTATGCCCTATCATCCATCACCCAGCTTCTTTGTCTGCCTAGAACTGTTGTTCTTTGGCTTTTTAGCATTTGGTTTTATCCAGAAGACTGTCCATTGTATTTAACTTCCATTTTAGAGGCGTCAAATTGAGTTTTTACATTAAAAAGCACTGCAGTTAAAAACATGGCTAGGATTAACTTATTTTCCTCATTCTTTATTCACATCTTTCTTCAGATGCTTCAGTTTTTCCTAATCCTTCCATCAGTATTACTTTTTTTAGAGTTACCTTTGTAACTCACTGCAAAAACAAAAACAAAACCAAAAAACCGATTTTGGAGAACTTGAAGCTTACATTTGCCCCCAGGGACTAGAACTGGTATTTACCATATTATTTCTAGAAACTAGGATCTGGGAGGGCCTTCCAGGTCATCACTACCTCCTAAGAAAGAACAGCGCTCCTGCAAGTGTCAGACAGAACACCCAAGCTAGTCAAACCAGCTTGCTGCCAAAGGGCCCCGCATCAGAGCTCGCACTGATAACAACAAGAGGGAAAGAGATCATAAAAGGCTCTACCTGTGCTTGGTTGCCGGAGTGCAGGGGCGGGTGTGGCGAGGTCTGGTGATGTGCAGGGTGCGCGTGAAGGTGGGAGTGGGAGTGATGATGTGGGTGGTTCTGCTGGTGATGGGGTTGAGGGTGAGGGTGGTGGGCTGGGTGCTGGTGCTGGTGTGGGTACGGGTGGTGGGCTGGCAGTGTCTGGTGCTGATGCGGGTGTGAGTGCATGTGATGGTGTGGCGTCTGGTCCTGCCGGGAGCCCATCATTTCCATCATGTGTCCCATGGTGTTCATATTCCCATTGGACATGGCAGCAGGGTGGTGAGTCAACGCGGCCTTCAACCTCTGAAACAGAACAGAACAAGAGGGGACAACTGAGGTCAGTCGTGTACAGAAGATTGACCTTGAATCAAAAGGGTGCCTGTTTTCAATTCCATGTTATGGTGCTCCTGCTAGTAACAATAATGCTCACACTTGTTTACTGGTTGGTGGTATGACTTTTATATTATATTTTAATAATATATGTATATTTATAATATATAATAACATATATTATATATTATAAAATATAAATATATTTTATATTTTCATCTATATTTTAGTAGGTAGGGGGGTCAATGTCCGCTGGAAAGGTTAATTCAGCTGTCACAGCAGATAAGCAGGACACCCTGTCAAGATTTAGACAGTCTACTAAAGGGTATTTCATACTAATTTCCTACTATCGATTATCATCATATCCTATCAGCAGCTGAATATAAGCATAAACCAAATAAAACCATTTAATGTGATAACGCCACTGAACAAACGGCTCATCTGATACAGCACTGTATTTTGTAAGGTCACAAGAATGAAAGACTTCTTCCTCTCAAAAGACTTCTTGAGTACAAAGAGGAAATAACTTCAAATTTCAGAATACAGGGATAGTACTGATGTTATTTTGGGCTTTAAATTAGATTCATGATCTATAACTTTTGGAGGCAGTAGGTAGGTCTTCTCCATTTGTTATCATGAGACCTCTCAAAGTCTTACCTGATAACCTAATTTTTCTCATGCAGTAACTTCTTACTTTGGGAAGGAAATGAGGGACATGGAAAGATTTGGAGGATTGCATTCTAGAGCTTCTTTGATGGCCATATCATTGGGCATATTTCTAACCCGACAGCATTATCCATTAACAAGCACACAGACGTGCACACAAATGACTTCTACCTGAATCTAAAGTTGGGATCAGCAAACCTTTTCTAGAAAAAGTCAGATAGTAAATATTTTTACCATGGCACGCCTTATGCTCTCTGTCACAATTACTGAATTCTGCTCTTTTGGGGCAAAAGCAGCTGTAGACAGTGTGTAAATGAATGAGCATGCTGTATTCTAACACAACTTTATTCAGGGACAGGAAGTTTGAATCCCATATAATTTCCACATGACATGAAATGCTATTCTACTTTTGATTTTTCATCACTTAAAAATGTAAAAACCATTTTTAGCTCAGACGCTTTGCAAAATTAGGCAGCGGGCCAGATTTGGCCCATGGGCCATAGTTTGTTGGCCCCAATTTAAAGAATCAGTTGGTAATCAGCTTAGTCACAGTTTCTTCAAAATTGCCTTTTCTTGTACACAGGCAATTATCATCATATCCTGAGGGGCACAATGTGCTAAGTACTGTATAATACAGTTATTCCTTGGAAACATATCTTCTACAGTGATGTTAGTCTGGTTGGCAAGCTCACGCTGGCTCCATGAAATATTTGCTAGGGGACTCAAAGTTCTCTCCAGATTTGTATTCTTATCTAATTAACGACAGTGGTGTACGATCACTGCAGAAAGGAAGAGTTGTATCTAAATGAGGGTCAAAGCAACCATGCTCCAGCCTGTATAATATTAATGATTCTCAACTGGGTAGAGTAAGCTATTGATGAATACCAACTGAATTCAAAAAAATCTTTAGTTAAACACAAAGAACCTCCATGTGTGTGTTTTTTAAGACTTCATTTATTTACTTGAGAGACAGAGAGAGGCAGAGATAGTGAGAGAAAAAGCACAAGTGGGGAATAGAGGGAGAAGCAGGCTCCCCACTGAGGAGGGAGCCCAAAGCAGGACTGGATCCCAGGACCCTGGGATCATGATCCAAGTCAAAAGCAGATGCATAACCAACTGAGCCACCCAGGCGCCCCAAGAACCTCCACTTATAAAAGAAAAATAAAAGGGAGGGTAGTATGTGACAGACTTTATCCTAATATTAGCTAATCATTGAAAACGTTCCCTACATCCAGATTCAGTGACCAGTAAGCCTACTTGCTTCCTCTTTCATGAGTATCAGCTCCTGACCTGCATCGTAGCAATCCTGAAGAAGTTAAGCTTCCTGAATCCCTGGGAAAGATTAGACGCTGGGTATTGTGTTTATTGCTACACAGAAAAGTGAACTCCCACTCCTCAACTCCAGTTTTTGAAATGATTTCATTATTTTTACAAAAATGCTTGTTACAAAAATGTAAGCAATGGTTGAAAGTAAAGCCAGCAACCAATGAACCAAACGCACTGTTTATATTTGGGGGCTGAATGGCATTTTCCTACATGCATATGCAGAGGTGGAGGAACGAGGAGAATAATTTCATCACAGGGGGACAGTAATAGCATGGAACTTAGCTTCTTCTTTGAATATAACATAAGCAAAAGAAGTAAATAAAATAAAATGAATTGTTGGACTTTAGATATGTGCTTCTTGAGCCCAAGAAAAGTTTCCAAATGAGATCTCCAAACTTAAGGGTGAAGAAAATTATGGACAAGATTATAATGAAATCACTGTTGTTGTTTTTTTTGTTTTTTTTGAAATTGGGTAGTGTTGATAAATTTTCTCAACTATTTTTTGCAGTTTCATTATTATGAAAACATATAGCTATGTAGTAAAAAAAAAAATCAACTATTATAAGAATATGGGGTGAAAGACTAAAGGCACCTGCCTACTCTTTTCCTGCTAAACACCAATTCCAAGTAATTTGCCTTTGTTCTCCTTAACAATAGATCTTCGACACCTTTCTATATGAGTAAAACCAGCGAATAACCATGGCTGGCATTACTCAAGCACTTGCCACACGCCACTCCTCAGTCTCCCCTAATCCTTAGAACAATCCTGCAAGGCTAAAAGAGAGACTAAGCCACCTGCCCAAGCTCACACAACACTAGAGAGATCTGTAGAGGCATGCTACCTCCACAGCCTATTCTCTAAACCAAGAAAGAAGGTGCCAGAAGGCACACCATGCACACTTGCCAAAAACAGTTATGAACTATTTTATGCCACCTCCTCATCATCCAAAGAAAGGCAGAAAGAAGAGATAGGTCTATGATAAAATGAAAAGACAAGATGCCATTACTGCGTGGTCCAGTGCATGGTTACTCAAACACACAATGAAGATCCAGATACACTCTTTCTGAAACTTGGCAGACAGAAGCGTGAATATAAGAATTTCCAGGAAGCTCCAGTGCAGCAAAGGATCCTGGGCTTATGGGGATCACCTCCTCTGTTATATTTGTGAAGAATGGATACTTGTATTTCCCCCCTCCCACTCACCCTCCCCCAACTCTTCTTTCTGTCCCTTCTTTCTGTCCCCACTTCCTCCTCACCTTTGGGTTTATGACCCTTTTGTCTTTCTAATGTTCAGGAGATAATATGGCGTATGCACAGACACTGAGGGGTGTGGCCCTGCCTTCCCATCAGCCCTTGCTCTTCCCACGCAGTCCCACAGGACTTTGCATCTGATAGTCTTCTTGCCTGAAATGTTCTTTCCCTTTCTTCATTTTATTTTTATGTTTTAGAAGAATTGTTTATTTTAGGGAGAAAGCGAGAGAGTACAGGTGAGTGGGGGGAGGGGCAGAGGGAGAGAATCTTTAAGCAGACTGCCCCGGCCCCGCCCTGCCCAGAGCCTCAGGCCGGGGCTCCCAACCCCGACCCATGAGATCACAACCTGAGACAAAACAAAGAGTCGGATGCTCAATGGACTGTGCCACCCAGGCCCCCCCTTCAGATATTTTATAGCTCTTAGCTCTTGGTTCCTTCTTAGTAAAATTCTCCCTGGTCTCCTGGTCAAAATCAATGCCTATTATTGCATAGTCCCAGTAGGCTCATATTCCTCTTCTAAGTTCAGTCTGTAGTTATGATTTTAATATGATTTTTAATTAATTAATATGATTATTCAATTCATATCCATCAACCATTCCAGACTGTAAGCTTCATGAGAGCAGGACCCACCTTGGATTTTGCGCAGCTGTTAAAGTGGCAGCTTTAGCACAGAGCCTAGTATGTAGTAGGCACTAAATTCATAGTTTGGTAATGAAAGTAAAGATGAACGAAGAATAGATGAATGAATGAATGAATAAAAGAAACTTCTGAGGCTCATGAGGATGCGGCATTTTCATCCTGGATCACTGCAGGTGCTATTTGTCTGGGAGGATGACTCCGTCAGTCAACCAAAGTCGGCAGAAAAGACTACAGAAGTCACGCAGGCAGACAGGCAGTAGAAGTACTGTCAAGAGAGCTTCCTGCTCCACACTTGGCCTGCCCTCCCAAAAATGGTAAAGGAAAAAATTAAACGTAAAGAAACAAAAGGAATGTGGCTTAACTTTCTCTTGATACCCTTTTCTGAAAAAGTGGTATGGAAAATTGAAAAGCTGTTTAGTCGTGGGTCACTATGTTATCCCTTCAATCCTACAAACAACTTTCTCACCTTAAATTAGGAGCAAATGGAGCCTGACCAATAAATGCTCTGCACCGGATCTTCATCTCAAATAATTAGCTTATCCTGATAAGGGAAATGACCTGATGGCCTCAAGTCCATTGTTGCATATTTCACGCCAAGACGATAATACTAATATGGCTTATAACATTCCATTTAACTCTTTATTCCCTCAACAAATATTGAGGGAGCTTCTACCATGTGCCAGGCACTGCGTTAGGCATGTTGTTATTTGCCACTCCCAGAAGGAAATGGAAGACAATAAAACCAAAGCTTTCTCAGCACTGGGGAGAAAACACACACACTTTGGCGAGGAAATGAAGATTTTCAAGCACCCCTTAGAGAACCTCAGGCCTTGGGGTTGAGCCCACCATCCGAGCACCAGCCTATGTTGTCTTTGAAGGAAAGCAGTGCCACTAAATGGTTATCGGGGCACTTCTGAAAGTCCTAAAGAACCTACTTGCTTCCCTGTATCCTCGTGCCAACATGAATCATTGCAGGGTAAATCACCACAGTATACCAAATAAAGAGATTTGTACCCCACTCTTTCAGGGATGATGAATGACCATTAAATGAGTCCAAGCTGTATTTTGCAGAATGGTTTTTCTTTTTGAA